TGACCTATGCATGTCCTTGACCCATTTCTCTATTGGGGATAGTAGTATTTTTCATATAATTGCTTTCAACATCTTCGTATATTAAGGGCATTGCACCTCTTCACATTTTGTAGGTTTATTTTCCCAGGTTATTTGTCTTTTGTTCTTATTAAAAAAACATTTTTTGGTGTGTATATAAAAGTAAAAGAAAGTGAAAGAGTCAAATATTTCTGTTTTACCTTGAGACTTCCATCTTTATAAGCTTATGAAGTCACTCTCAATACGGAAATTTAAGATATATTTATCTATAACCCCCTAGTTTTATTTTTTTTAATTTAAAATAACTGTTTAACCCACCAGGGATTTATCTGAATGCAGGATGTGAGGTAAGGATCTTCCTGGGGGCTACACTGGGATTTGCTATCTGGGAGACAGAGCCTCTGGCTTGTGTGGGGCTTGGATCGACAGGGGTGGACATCCCCGGGCGGAGACGACATTGACAGGCCAAGGAGGAGTTGATGTGTTAAGGGCACATCCAGGCTGGGCTTGGGTTGGCGGGGGCTGGGAGGGGTTCTCTTTTTTCTCAGGTGATGCTGTGGACTGAATTGTGTCCCTCCAAATTCATATGTTGAAGTCCTAACCCCAGAGCCTCAGAATGTGACTATGTTTGGAAATAGAGTCTTTCAAGAGATAATTAAGTTAAAATGAGATCATTAGGGTGCTCCCTCATCCAATATGACTGGTGTCCTTACAAGAAGAGATGAGCCAAGTACAGAGGGAAGTCCACCTGAATACACAGGGAGAAGCTGGCCATCCACAAGCCAGAGAGAGAGGCCTCAGAAAAAACCAACACTGCTGATACCTTGATCTCAGACTTCTGCACCGCCAGAATTGTGGGAAAATACATTTCTACTGTTTAAGCCACCCATTCTGCGGCACCTTGTTATGGCAGCCCTAGCAAACAAACACAGGCGGGCTCTCTGGTAAAGGCCCTCAGACCTGGTTTTCGGTGGGGCTTGCAAAGTCTCCCATTACAGTCTTCTGTTGAGACTGAGTCAAGATAGCAATGTTCATTTTTTAAAATTATTTTTAGTGGGGGAGGGGATAGCTCAAGTGGTAGAATGCCTGCTTAGCATGCATGAAGCCCTGGGTTCAATCCCCCGTACTTCCTCTAAAAATAAGTAAATAAATAAACCTAATTACTACCCCCCCCCAAAATTTTTTTCTAGTTATTTTAAAAATGCATACATTGCACATTCACTAAGAAAAATCAGGACATACAGATTAGCAAAAGAAATAAGATGACCTGGGATGCTAATGCCCCTAGTGGTCCAAACTCACACTGGCTGTGTGTCCTGCAGGGGGGCCTCCTCCTGATTTGCCCCCAGTGGTGGTCACCCGCCTCTCATTGGGCTACATAGACCATGCGTCTCTCCCAGAGACAGCTGTTACATCGTGCGTAGGGGAGGCCACAGCAATGCTAAGGCTGCCAGAAGAGTCCCCTTAACCCATCACCTCACAGCTGGCCAGGAGGGCCAGGGGCTGCCGGATCTGCAGGGGCTGGAAATCCACCTGCTCCCACCCACCCCCCCTGCAGCCTTCCCCCTCTGCTTGCACTCGCCAGTGCCTTCTCCTCCTTGAGCAACCCCATCTGCTAGGAAAGACCTGAGCCCAGATTAGCCCTTACTTTTGACTCTGTGGCACCCACAGAGCCTCCAAAAACAGCTTGGGGAAAAGGCCACAGTGCTTGGTTAACTCAGAGGTAAACCGTCTATCTAGTGTCTCCTCCTGACACACCCTTATTCTCACACTTGGGGTTTTGTGCACGGTTTCCTCTGCCTGGAATGCCTTTGCTTCCTACTTTCTCTAAAATTTCCTTTTGGAATCTTGTCCACCCTTCACAGCTCAGCTCAGTAATCACCTCTTCCAGGAAGACTTTCCTGATCACCTCTCCCTCAAATGAATGGAATTCCCCCTGGGAGCCTATGCCTCGCTCTCTGCCCCACCCATAGGCGGCACTGGTCATGTTGCCTGGAATTAAAATATGCATGTCACCTGCCCCAGATGGCAGGCTCCTTGTTGGTTCATTTCTACATTCCACCCTTGTTTTGGCCTGTTTGGGTTGCCATAACAAAAATACCACAAACTGTGTGGCTTAAACAATAGACATTTATTTTTCACAGTTCTGGAGGTTTGGAAGTTCAAGATCAAGGCCTTGGCAGCTTCAGTGTCTGATAAGGATCTGTTTCCTATATCCTCAGACAGTGGAAGGGATGAGGGAGTTCTCTGGGGTCTCTTTTATAAGGGCACTAATCCCATTCATGCCTCCACCCTCATGACCTAAGCACCACCCTCAGGCCCCACCTCCATATACCATCACATTGGTGAAAAAGTTTCAGTATGTGACTTTGTGGGGGACACAAACGTTCAGTCTATAGCAGCTCTCCTCCTGCATCTAGCATTGAGTCTGGCTCAGAGTAGCTTCCAACTAGAGTTTGACCTTAGGATGTAATATTTTTCCTTTACTGCAGAGAAAATATCTTGGCAAAACTCACATCTATCATTTGGAAAAAATCTCACGCAATGCATAACATGTGTTTCTACCAATGTCTCCCAAGTAAATGTTATGAGTTTTATACCCATTGGGCAGATGAGAAATTAAGGCTCCTAGAAGTTAAGAGACTGCTCACATCAGCAAACAGAGCATCAAGAACTGGAGCTGAGACTCCCAGCCAAGGCTGTTTATCCCTTTGCCTTTTTCATGACCCTGGTGTAACCTCATTCCCTCCCATGGTCACCTCTGTTCCCAGCACCCAGCATGGGGGCCTGGCTTCAGTGGAAATTTGAGGAACAAATAAATCTAAGCCTTAAGCATCATGTGGCAGGCCTCAGGCATCCACTCTCCCTCTCTGTGATGGTCACTGAGGGTGGACGTGCTGCTGGAGGCAGAACATGCCTAAGCGTGTTCAGGGTGGCACTTCTACCCTCCTTACAGGAGGCCTTGCCCAAGACCTCCATTCTGCCGTCGTGTGGGGGCTGCACATAGCCTGGTTACTGCAGATACCAGTGCCCCATACCTGAGAAGGGCAGGCACGAGGCCTCTGTACTAGGAGAATCGGGGACAAGGGCTGCAGCATCCGGGACAGAAACACGGCTCTACCTCACCAGTTCCCCGTAGGTTTGGAGTCCAGTTTTCAGTTCCCAAATGCTGCTGCTGCTGCTCTTTGAAGTTTGTGCCTCTAAGTCCTGAGCATCTCTCTCTCTCCCTCAGGAATCACCTTCGTCACCATCCATTGCAGAAATGAATGGAGGCCACTCAGCTGGCTTTATTAAATATGAATGAGTCGCAGCCCATGGCCCCCATGCGGTCACTCGCCCACTCCATCTCTGGCAATTACTGCGTCGCACACACTGTGCCAAGGGGCGCAGCGGTCCCTGCCTGCCCTTGCAGACTGACACCGCCCAGCAGGGGCAAGGCTTGGGCTGCAGCTGCCTTGGCCCCTGATGGAAAGCCACCCCAGGGTTCCTATGCAGCCAAAACACTCTGCTCTGAAGGCACAGGGACAGGGCACCTCTCAGAACGATCGTGGATTCTTGGGCTCTGAGCTCTAGCCAGATATGGCCTGTGACTTTGGAGCCCAAAGACAAGGTCTCCTGGCAGGAGTGGCTTCTGAGCTCTGCTGCTGTTAGAGGTGTGTGGGGTGCGCCCAGGCCACTTAGGTTCCAGGCAACTTAAAGATCCAGCCTGGATCAGGGTTAAGAGCGTGTGTGCATCATGCACCGTTACTGAGCATATACTCGTGTGTGTTAACCTTCACAAGAACCCCCTAGATTATAAGATTCATGTTCACAGGGTCCTTGTTTCCCCAGTTCTCCAGTGTCCCCAGTGCTGGGGGCAGAATAGATGTCAACTACTCTTTGTTGAATGAATGAATGAGGTGGGTGTTACTGACCATTTTGGAGCAAATGAAATTGAGGTTACAAAACTCAGCCAAGGTTTCCCAGCCAGTGAATCAGAGCCAGAAGTCAAATCCAAGGCAGGGGCTCAACCTTACTTCCCGCTGCCATGCTGGCTGGTAGCTTGGCTGGAACCTCTCAAGAATGGGGACTTTGCCTCTTCCACCCCAACCCAGGCCAAGTCCAAAGCCATAGCACACCATTCTAGCTGCATGGATTTGTTTTGACCCCGATTTTATCAGGAGAGCCAGTAAAACTCCCCACAACCCCAATGGGCTTTGTCAAAGTTGTCAAAGACCAGGAACAGGGTATAGCTCAGGGGTAGAGTATGTGCCTGGAAGCAATGAGATCCTGGGTTCAATCCCTAGTACTCCCATCAAAGTGAATAAATAAATAAAAGCCTAATTAGCGCCCCCCCAAAAAATAAAAAATAAATAAAAATTTAAAATGTGAAATTATAAAAAATGCTTAAAAAAAGAATAATTGAAAAATTTAAAAAAAAGTAGTCAAAGACCATCTATGAAACTGTAAAAACAAATGAGATCCAATTCTTTTCCTGAACTTAAAAAATTACTTTTATTTTAGGAACCAATAAAATTATGGCAAATATTTACAAATAATTATCTCACATAAAGGTTACATAAAATCAATTCTTCACAAGTAACAGTCACTCATGAAAAGACACACAGATATTGAAACTACGCCAATCTTATTGCAAGTTTCTCCAACTAACCTAAAATAAATGTGTTGCAGTCAACCATTTAACTTAGAATAAAACCACAAATTCCAGATTTGACGGGAAAAAAAAAAGTGAAAAAAAAATTAAACCAAAATCCCACCCCTGTTTTCTCCCAAGTCCCACCCGCAGCCCCTACCCTCCTCCCAACAAAAGAAAAATATGTCCAACATCTTTGGCAAATTGGCACTGCTGTAATTACATTCAAATATTATTACACACAAAAGCAACACACATCACTAGGAAAAAAAAAAAAACCACCAAAATTTCAAGTCAGTTATTTTCTACTAGAAAAAAAGAATACAAAACATACACATTTTTAAGAAGCTTTTTTTTTTTCAATCTATTGGAGACAGATCATCTCCCACTTTCAAAGGCAATTCAATTGTGTGGGTTTTTTTGTTGGTTTTTTTGTACTTTTTTTTGTTTTTTTTTTTTTTACAAGTAAGCATCTATGCAGGCATCACAAACTTTGGCGGATACAGTAGATATGTATTTCTTTGATGCTGGAAAGTCAGTCCCTAAGACAAAGTCAACCGTCTCAAAGAACGAAAAGCAAAATCCATGTGTCTTCCTGGCAAAGAGTTCCATTTGCAATGTAATGTGCATTTCTACAAATACTCAATGTCCAAAGGCCACTGGGTGGTGAAAATCCAGGGCAGCAACTTCCAGCAAGAGTCAGGGCAAAACCCGAGTCAGATTTCCACCTCTGGCCCAAACTCGGAGGCCCAGCAGCTGGGGCTGAGCTGCCTGCCAACCGCCCTAAGCTGGTTGCTTGGGGCCAGGGCACGGGCCTGCCTCCGGGCCCCACGGTGGGCTGCTGCCAGGTCTGTTCACCTCCTCTGACCAAAGGCAAGAAGAGCAGGCAAGAATTGGCACGAGGAGACTCAGTGCTTTCTCTGAGTTTCAAGTATGTCTGAGACGTCAGGGTGCACGTGCATTATGTGCGTTCATACACCCACAAGGGCACGTATGGAGGGGAAGGCCAAATTTGGAGGCTCTGAGCTTTTGCAGGGTGTTTAAAATAGACTCAGGATTGATTTATTTTCTTTTTAGCTTTATAGCAATTAATTGGCTATTGATTGGTTGGAATGTTCAACTCTCCATTTCCTCAAATACAATAAAATAGTTTCATTAAAATGTATTCATGCTTGAAAATAAGGGAGCCATTAAATGGTTTCCTTTCTGTTCCACTCCAAGGGAAACGCACCGTTTGTAAATCAAAAATCCATCATCCAAAATCACTTGTTCTAAATGGTGCTTTTGGAGAAGATGAGGGATGTGGCTACGAGTGTGGCGATTGTGGGGATCTGGGTGGCCCTGCAGCCACAGGGGTGAGTGGGCCCAGGCGAGGGTAGGGGAGGCTGCAGCCAGGCCTCCTCCGGCCTCAGAGTCAGGAAAGGGGGCACATCACTCCCAAGTCGTCCCTCCGCCTGCCGTTCCCCTTGCTTCCCTCTCCCTGCCACGCTCAGAGCTGCCCACAGCTGAAGGACAGGACTCCTACTCCCTCCCTCCCGCCCAGAGGCCAAATATATTACCTGAGACCACCTCCCTCTTAGAATTCATCAAGATTCCCTCAGTAAACAGATAAACTGCTGCATTTTCTCCTTGTGTGGCTCAGGGGTCTAAGATGTGGGAAGAAGAGTAGACTTACTGAATGGTGCTTGTGTTTACCCTTAACTTGGAGATGAGCAAAAACAGGCCCCCTGGGAACATGTGGATTGAAACTCTAGAATGGCAGGGATGTGACCCTGAGGTCTCCTTTGATCTGGGGTGAGGGGTCCTGGAACAGGACCCGTGTTGAGAAATTACAACGAATGAAAGAGACTGGTGCCTGCCTGCTCCCGGCAAGCAGCCCGAGTCCGAGGGCTGCAGCCTCTCATCAGGAGAGCGGGCAGGCAAGGGAATGTTTGCTCCCGTCCCCTGCGGCGGCCCCCTGGGACCTTGCCGTGCACACTGACAGTGGGTAAGTGTGGTCAACCATGAATATGCAAGAGGAAATCCTGAGGTACGGGGACAACAGGGGACAGGGGCTGAAGGGGCTGCTGGGAGGTGGGGCAGACCAGGCTAAGAGTCATGGCCTGACTGTCCAACTTTCCAATAATGTACTTTTGTTACCTTTTAAGAAATGCACTTGCTTCGGACCTCTCCGGGGCCAAAAGAACTAAAGGAATGAATTCTCCAGGCACACTAGTGTGCGTGCCTGGAAACTGTGAACAGTAGGCTCCTGCATGGGTGACGGGGCCAAGGCCATAGAGCTAGCTGCCGCTTAGCAGGGTCATGGGGAGCTGGTCGACCCCTAGTGCTGCAGATCCACCCACTCTAGCCTGGGCCTGGCCTCTCCAGGGGCCTGGATTGTTCTCTACCCTTGTGGCAGTTGTGTCTCAGACATAACTTATTTCCACGTATTTGTCAGGAGTGCTTGATTTGTTTTTCAGATTCACTCTCCATGTCTTGGAGCTACGTTCTAACCAAAATGTCATCCAGAAGCGGGTGGCTGAAGCCAGAGGCTGTTGCTCTGGGATGTGACTTCTCATAAAGGGATTTCACCCCTCAGTGCCCTGTGGCCACAGCTGGGGCTCTTTCTTGGACACATGAAAGGCCCTGGCAGCACTGACCTCCCCTCAAAGCCAAGAGTCCCCTATCCCTACCACCTCTACCACCTCCATATTGTTACTTCAAAGCCTGAAGTCTGTTCCACAGCAGGGAGGACAAAGAAAAGAGGGGTGTGGGGACATCTCATCACACTGGAGGCCTGCACCGTGGGAGTCAGGGCTGTGGTGCGGCGTGGGACCAGCTCCAATTCTCTGCAGGTCTCAGGCTCAGCAGGGGAGGAAGGAGTCTGGATGAAACCTCAGAAGAGTTGGTGGGGATCTGGCAAAGACTGCAGTTTTCAGTATTAATGGGAATCAAGTTGGACCAGCAGAGCCACCAACCCCCTGGCCCCACTGTCAGGCAAGCCTTTGAGTCCCTGCGTTTTCTTTCCTCATTGTGGGTCTGGGGGTTTCTAGGGGATTGAAGGGTATCTCTAAGCCATATATTCCCATGACAGGAACGTGAATCTGGAGAGAGACTGAGGCCGGGAGATCTGAGAATTCTCTTCACCTCTATCTTGCCATGTGAACCTCAAATCTCAGTTTTCCTGTCTGTAAAATGGGCATTGTGATCTCTGTCCATGGGATGGTAAAGGATTGCAAAGCACCATACAAATGTCAGGTATGAAAGGGCTAACCCTAACTAAGGCGCCTCAGGAAAGGGATGTTGGGTTTGATATGTCATCAAATTTTTCTAGGTCGTAGATAGACTAACAGTATGAAAATTTTCTGTAAAATCTACATTGTCCTTTTCAAAAAGTCAGAGCTGGAACACGGGGCTGAAGGCCCATAGAGGAAAGCCCCAGGCCTCCTCCAGTGACGCCGGTGACGGCCCTGGCCTTGCGTTTTCTATTTAGAATTGTCTGGCATCTACTCAATGGCTGTGTCCTTTGGAACCTTCATCTCCAAGCTCCCAGGCAGCTCTGCTGGGCGGTGCGGGAACTCGGCGGGAGCAGGTACGTGTGTGGGAACATGCATGTGCATCCGTGTGCTCGTGTGCTTCTGCCTGGCAGCCCAGGAATCAAATGGTTGTCTGATAAATACAAATGCAATTTGATGACCCGCAGAGCCTCATGGGAGAGAGAGAAAAGGCATGGAGGGAGCTCACCACAGGTCAAGAGGAGGAACAGGACGTGGAAAGGGGTGCACTTGGGGCCAGGTGAGCTTTGCCGAGGAAGGATGGTGTGTGCCATCCTTCCGGTAGCTGGTTCAGGGAAGGCTGACCTCCTCCCAACAACCTGAGACCACAGGAGGGACCCGGATCCAAGAATGTGGGTGCCAGAGGCCAAGAGGCTTGTGCTGCAGACCCCAGACTCCACCAATTTCTCTGAAAGAAAGGGAAGGTGGGAGGGGCCAGGTAACATACCTTTCCTACCTTGCCCCAAAGGTGGAGGCTGGAGTCGCTCCATCGGGCTCCTGGAGGCGGGCTCTGGCCCAGCTACCTCCCTTCTTTGCATGGCAGGTTTGCCGATGGGGTGGGGATGCCCCCAGTGAGCTCACTGGTTCCACCTCTGCCCTAGATGACTGGACTTCCTTGGCAGTTCGATCAGCCCCAGGACACCTGTTCTGAGGCAGTGGGCCCAGAATCATTCCCTGCTGCCCTGACCATCAACTTCCCGCCCCAGGGATGGGAGGATCACTATGTGCCAGGGGCCAGGGGGCTGAGTCCCAGCCTCACCTCTGCCAGTCACTTCCTGGGGACTCCACCTTGCGGAGCCTTAGTTTCCCCTGAGGGGAGCTGACCTAGGTCTTCCTCAAGGCTGATTCTCACCCCATTAGGTGTTCTTGTTTTTCAGTAGGTCCAAATATTAGCAGGACTCAGGTGCCCACTATGCTTGCTCAGAAGTGGAGGGCCTGCCCCTGATGACCTGTCGCAGCCCTGGCATTCTGGGAGAAAGAAGGGGAAGGAGAGAGCTGTTGGGTGATCCTGCAAGAGACCCTGCTGTACCAAGGCAGCTGAGGCTCAGAGAGGGGAATGGTCTTGCCTGGGGTCCCAAAGCAAGGCAGACGTGCAGCCAGGACAAGACTTCTCAGGCCTGATAACCTCAAGGGCAGGCCCTCTCTGCTTCAGCTCTTTGCCAACGTGGTGACATGCAGACATCGGGCACACTGTCACAGGAGAAGGCAAGTCTACTGTCATTGCTGTAATTCAGCCCAGATTTGGATGGGGCCTCTCCCTGGCCGTTCTGAGTTAGCAAGAGATATCATGCAAGGAATTGAGGCCCCAGGCAAAGAGATGGTGGCCCCTGGCACCCCCATTTCAAAACCACTCCCAGTTCACACACCAATTCCACACTGCCTGTTCTGCTCCTTTCCCAGGAAGCTTTCCTCTGTACCCCATATCCTCCCATGTGGCTTTTCCTGACCACTCAGCCCACAGTGAGTTCTCCCAGCTCCCCCTCCAGGCTCCGGGGGCCCTTGGCCGTGGCCCTGCCCATCCAGCCCCGTGCAGCAACGGGTGGATACCCACTCTGCAAAGTAGGCACCAACCCCCACCCGAGCACCTCCATTCCTGGCGGCAAACTAGGCTCCACGAGGACGGGGAGGGGCTGGCCGGTAAGTTCTGGCTGACTGCTGTAGGTGTTTGTGGTCCTCGGTCCAGACAGAGTCCTTTGTGTTAATCATCGTCTACATGGCAGGGACGAGCTTGCCCAGAATCCACTTGCTGGCGTCCTGGAGAGTGGGAGATGTGTCCATGGTGGGTGAGCCTGGGCACACCTCAGAAAACATATCCGAGTTCAGTTCAGTGGTGTGAGGGGCTGAGGGGTCAGGAGAGCCTCAGGCCCCGCCTTGGACCATCATCTCCTGGGGCCCGTCCAGCCCTAACGTTCCAAGTCCACAATGCAATCAGCACCTTGGACGACATCTTACTTTAGAACAGTAGCTGAGGAATGTCCCAGACGGTTCTCTTTGAGTCCTTTAATATGGAAAAGAGCTGCTCACACTGCATTGGGCCCAGGGAAATGGGGGGCAGGAGGCCAGGGCATCTCCCCACATTGTGTTTCACCTGGGGAGGGGTCCTGGGTGGGTGGTGCTTAGAGCAAAACCAGCCCAGTGAGACTCTTAGTCCAGACAGTGAAGAAGTAGCAATGAGCAGGAGGCTGGGCCCCGAGGTGGGCATCCTTAGTCTCAAGGACAGCTCCAAACCCACCTGTAGGGGACACCCAGGGCAGAGGGGATGCTCTGTGCACAGGTCTAAGACGTCCTGTGATGCTTCGGGAGTGCTGGATGCACAACGGGTGGGCAGTCTGCTCAGTTGGACCCTTGGGCCCACAAAAAAGCAAGAAGGTATTTACATGGGTTCTGCTGAAGCAACAAAAGCAAACTCTCCTTCCCAGGCCTGGGGCAGGAAGACAGGTGGATGGTCAGACAGCTGGGGGGCTGGCAGGCTGGGCTGGCGCTGCAGGTGTCTGCAGAAGTCTGTTGGTTTGTGGAGATCCAGTCACCATCGGGAGAAGCTCAGCGGATTCTTAGGAATGGACAGGTGTCCAACAGCCCTACCAGGGAACCCCAGAGTCCCTGGCAGGAAAAGGGGAGAGGGAGTTTCAGGCGAGTAGGGGGAGGTTGCTGGGGGACGGTCTCGTTCGGCCCCTCTGGCTGTCTTCGGAGGGGGCTGGGAGGCTATGGCCCTCAGTGATATGTGTCATAAGTGCTTGGCGCCTGCCTGGCTCCGGGGGTCAGTGACGGTCATAGGCAGTGGCAGCTGCGGGCGGGGCGGCTCCTCGGGCAGCGGCGCTGTAATAGTACGGGGAGCCTGGAAGAGACAAAGAGGCCATAGAGGTTGGAGGGAGCCCCTGTGCCCCCTTTCCGCCAGTGTCCCCAACCTCTGGCCTTCCTCCCCCCTACCCCAGTCCAGGCCACTGTCCTCTCTCACCAAGATCTCAGTCGCTGAGTAGGGCCGCTGCCTGCTCAGGTTTCAAGCCCTCCTCACCACCTGGAACTGCGGTGGGCAGGTGGGCCACATCCTCCCTGCCACCTGTTTGGTAAGTAACATTTTGCTGGAACCCAGCTTTGCTCATTTGTTTCCTTGTTGCCTGTGGCTGCTTTCGTGCGGCTACAGCAGAGCTGAGTATTGTAACAGAGCCCTGCCGACCTCTGAATTTCCCTCCCACACCCCCACCCCTCCCACTCCCACTCAGGGACCCTGCTCCAGTGAAGTCAAACTCTGTAGCGCCTCCAATATATGTTAGCGCTGACGGCAGCTACAATACTGCTGAGCCCTTCCTGCCCCACTCCATGTCCTTTACACATGTTGTCTCATTTAAACCCACGGGGCAGGAGAGTTAGCTCTGCCTCCGTGCCTTTTCCACGCTCTGCTTCCTGTCTGGAACACCTTGGCTACACCTTCACCCTCTTCCCTGTCTGCTGAATCGCTCCTCCCCCTTCAAGTCCGAGAGCCCCCCTACCCCGTCTCCTCCTTTAGTATGCCCTTGCTCTGAGCCCACACTCCGTGGCAGGCTGGACCATGCGCTCTGATGACTTCTTTCTGCGCTTCTTCCCCCTTGCCTGGACAGAGGGCCCCACAAAGGCAGAGGCGGGGTTCTGTTCTTCTCAGTGGTGTCCGTCGCCGGGAGCCAGGAGCCTGGCACATGGCATGTGCTCAGCTGGGTTCGTTGAGTAAACAAGTGACAGCACTGGGTGAACCAACCAGAGCAAAGACTTAACTCATTCATTTATTTTCCGCCCCTACTAGGTGCAGTGCTGGTCACTAATGAACAAATGCAGGCCAATGTTCAGAGTCAGGAAGGGGACCAGAGTGCTGAGAAAAGAGCTCTGGGAACTCATAATTATTCTGGCAGGGTCAGGCTTCCTGGAGGAAGCGGGCTGGGCTGGACTTGGAGGACATGAAGATTTGGACATGCGAGTATGTGGGAGAAGGGCAGGTGCAGCCCTGCGTCCTGTGACCTCTGGATGGAGCCACTGTGGGGCCTGTTGTACCCGTGTCGGGTTCCTCCTACTATCTCGAGGCTGCTTTCTTTGACTACATGCTTTGAATGACGCCGCCAGGAGGCCTGCTCTATGCTCAAAGTCCTCCCCAGGGCAGAAAGGGTCTGGAGTGGCTTGGGGAGACCAGCAGGTTCTCAGAACCACAGAGGTTAGAGACACCAGGCTGTCTCCTTTATCAGAGCAGGAAAATGAGGCTCAACAAACCAACATCATGTGCCCAAAGCCACAGAGCCTCTCAGGGCCAGAGCCTGGCCTGGCATTTCAGTTGTCGGCCCCTGGCTCAGGACTCTTTCTGCCCTGATGCAGTTCACGGCATGTACAGCCATTTTGGAGGGTTGTTTCTCCAAGGGGATGGCAGCTGGATTCCTGTCAGCCATTGTAGACTACGTATCTGCTGGGGCAGGAAGAGTAAGCTTCTTAATTTCCCACAGGAGGTGAGTTATATATATTCTGAAATCTCACCCCAAACCCAAACCAATTCTGGCAGTTCTGCCAGATGCCATAACTGGGCACCAAGACCTAGAGATTGCCAGTCAGGCTCTATCACTCTTGGCTGAGTGACCTTAGACAAGTAAATTCAATCTCTTGAGCCTCAGTTTTCTAATCTATAAAAGGGGATCACAGAGGGGTGACATGAGGGTGCCATGAGGTGAGGATGCAAAGGTGCTTTCGAAATGGACACTTTTCTAAGCTGTTCATATTCTTGAACTCTTAATGTCCACAACAGTTCTACCAGGTAGGCACTAGCATTGTCCCCATTTAGCAGATGAGGAAACTGAGGCACAGAGAGAGTAAGTAGTTTGCCTAAGGTCATAAAGCTAGTATGTAATCAAGTGGGCAAGATTAGCATGTGCCACCACTCCTCAAAACCCGGCCCCAATTATCAGTCATAATTCTCCCTCCTCGGCCCGCAGGAGGGCAGTGTGGCTCAGGTAGCAGTGACAGTGGGGGAGCAGGCAGCGCCCTGCTGTGCTGTTCTGGAAGGCACGGACACCAGTGCCATGCTGAAGTATTCCCAGAGATGGATTTTTCTGCTGCCTCCTCTGTCACCTCCCTCATTGGAGCCCTGACTCAGATGCCTGTCAGCCTTCTCTGCTCTCTCCTCTGCGGTATGGGGACAGCATTAGGACAGTCACCCATAGAGTATCTGCGGTGCCAGCCCTGCGTTCTGCCTTCAGACAGGCCTCTGTGTGTGTGTGTGTGTGTGTGTGGCGAGGGCCAGCCCCGCAGGCCTGGGCATGGCACAGCAGCAGAACCACAGGGGCCGTCCCCACAGGAGAGGGACAGGAAATCCTGACTCGACCCTCTGAGTTTCCCAGGGCTCAGCTCTCATCCTGGGCTCTAACTTGCTCTCCTCCCAAAGCCTAATCTCTTGGCCGGGGTGTCCAGTGGCCTCAGTGGGGGGGCCCCACGGCAAAATCAAAAACACCTCCATGTACCATGAGCAATGAGAACGTCACCTCACAAAGCGCTGTCTTCCTGGTGCCCGTTAGACCTCCATCTAGAATAAACTTGTCTTTTCTTCTGTCATTTTCCCTCTCTAATTCACATTATCATCAATTTACTTCTTGACACAGTCATTCCAGGCTCCCACTCACTCTCTAATCCCTTTACAGCGGCCACAGGCACTCGGGTTCTAATCCTAATTGACCGCGGCCGGCCTTTCTTCCTGCCGCCAGCCGCTGGCCCCGCCTGCCTGGGGCCCCAACGGGGGTGTGGGATCCCAGAGCCATCCCACCCTGCAGACAGCTCCTGGGGAGGAGGCCCAGCGGGGAGTAGGGTTCTTCTGAGAAGTCAGCCTGCAGCTGCAGGAGGCGGCATTTCCCATCCTCTCTTTGGTGGTGTGTCTGTGAAGGAGGCTTTGACCAGGCCAGCTGAGGCATGGGCTGGGTGTGTGAGGGTGTGAGCACACCTGAGTGTGTGTGTGTGAGAGGGTCCTACATGTTTCCACTGCTCCCACTGACCTAGCAGAGCACAGAGGAGCCTCAGCGCTGGTTTCCCCTCTGGCACCCTCCCCACAGAGCAGAGAAAGTCAGTCTACTTCTCCAGCCCAGTGGGAATCTTTCAGCTAAAGCCCTGAAGGCCCTGGGGAAGGGCAGGCTGGTGGCTGGAACAGGTCTGGAACTTATTTGCAAGACTATGGCAGAGTGAGCTGGCATCTCACTCATCTTAAGGAGGGTAGGATCATTGCACCCAGGGCCTCAAGAGAGCATCATGTTCAGCCCCCGCTTGAATGAAGCTGCCAGCCGCCATTATCCTCATTTTACACCTGAGGCCAAGGAGGCCCAGATTGGTTGATGAGCTGACGAAGATTCCCCAGGTATAGACTTGGGCAGCACAGGGGTCATTTCTCATGTTTTTAAGAGCCCAACATTGTTTAGCCTTTTCTTGTGTCTGCAGACTTCCCTGTGGTGTGAGGCCCACCTCCCTGAGTCAGAAGTCAGACTCGTTCTCCCAGCTGCCCTTGCTGCTGGGGCACAGGTGCGTCACCTGGGCTCTGCTGATTAGCTCTGAGTTTGACCTCCGCTGGGAGGGGAGCCGCTTGAGGAAGTGGACTGACCAACTCCACCTGCTGGGGCTGGGTGGCAGAGGCACCAGCTCCGGGTGGTGGCCGGGCAGAGCTCTCAAGCACCCCCTGAGGCACAGAGCTGGCTGTTTGGGGGTGCTGATGGTGGGGTGTTTATGCTGGAGCAGGCCTGGAGGTGTGGCTGGGTGTGTTCCTGGCTGTGTGTCCCACATCTGTCTCTTTGGGCCTCCTGGAGATTCTGGGAGCCCCCAATATTCCTTAATAAATTCACTTTCTGCTTAAACCTGCCAGTGTTGTTTGTAACTGAAAGCCTGACAGACAGACACAATAACCTGGAATTTCAAAAACAGACCAGAGCTGTTCTCACTGCATAGGTAGTCTGAGTATTTGGGACTCTCAAGGTTTGTTTCTGTGGAGAGATGAGCCTCTTCTCCTGGCTATAGTACTGTTCAGACTGAATCGGTCAGGTAGAGGAAGAGTCCCACATTGCACACTGATTATGAATACAGGCTCTAGAGTCAAGGTGACTCGAGCTTGAGTCCTCATTCTGCTACCTGCATGCTGTGTGACCTCAGGTAAGTTAATTAACCTTTCTGAGCTCCACACTTCTTCTATGAAGATAATCGTATGTGTCCCTTTGGACCGCTGAAAGGATAAAATGAGGTAGCCCATATGAAGGGTTTTGCCCCGTCCCTGCAAGTGCTCATTTGGATGAACAGAATTCTGATTCTTTTTCCTCTTCACACTGGCTCTGGTCCCTCTCAAGGCACTGAGCACATCCCAGCACAGACACACTTGCCTGAGGCTCCCTCACCCCCAGCCTGTGAGTTCCCTGGGATAGAGTCCACATCTTTTTCACACCAGACACACAGCCCACCCATATAATTGGTGATGTGAACTGGATTTCACTCCAACTTGAGCAGCAAAGTCCTCGGATGTGGCCTAGTCCCTTCCTCCCCTCGCCATCCCCTTGGGCTCCTACCTGCTCACACAATCAGGTGCAGACTTCTCAGTCTGGCATTCAAGATCCCCCAACCGTGGCCCCACAGGCCACCCACCTCCTACTCCACCCCTTTGACACACTTGCCTGAGCAGCTCCTTTCCCACTTCTCTGATTCTTGAGCTCCCAGCAAATGAGCCTACTGGAAACCTCATAAAAATTAGAAAAATGTGCCCACTCTGGGCAGCCGTAGCCTCGTACTAGACCTCGGGGCCTCTGCCATGCATGGGCTGGATTTCAGGCCCTACTTGTCCCCCTGTGCAGTACACACCCATACATGGAAGCCCTAGGTCAATATGGACTCACTGGGGTCATATCCCCAACACAAGGGACCCCTCCCAGAGCCTAGCCCAGGCCATCTTTGTGCCATATACCCTGTGGATCCTGCAGCAGCACTGGGATCAGGGCCCTGAAAATGAGGCCGATTTACAGGGAGTGGCTCCCAGGCTCAGGCCTCCAGACCCATTCCGCTTACCCTAACCCCTGTAAAAAGACTGGTTCAGGGTCAGCCTCTGCCTCCTGAGACTGACAGCTGGGCCATCTCAGAGCCCAGAGCCTCTTGGCTGGTGGTGAGTGGTTGTTTAAGGAAAAGGACTGGGTGAGTGGAGACCCAGTTCAATACTTAGAAATAATTTTTACCAAAACCAAAAAAGAAGTCTGAGCAATCAGTCCACAGATGCCAAGAGGCCACAGAGAGTAAGAGCCCAGTCTTCTATAAAACAAATCTCCAAGCACAGGGCCCGAAGCACTAGTTGGCGTTGTTTCTTACTTTACCTGAAGTTTTGCATGATACACCAAAATGCTTCAGGCAGCCCAAGGCTCAAATGCATGGAAGGATGGCAGCCAGGAAGGGATGGTGTCCCTGTCATTGTCCTAATCACCAAAGCAGGTTGGAGAAGGGGCCAAGGCTGTGACGTCACAGCCTCCTTTGCAAACCCATGCCTGGCAACTTGGGTCTGAAGACACCAAGTTCTTGCTTTTTTGGTGAAGTCTATGTTTCTCAGTCCTCAAATAATTCAGGATCCAGGGAATTAAGAAGGCCTTCTTAAGCTGGACAGACAAACCTGGACAGAGGCCCTTCCACGTCTGCCCTTTGTGGGACTCCCTCAGCTGATTGCTGGGGAGGGTTCAGTGTTGCTGCCTGCAGTCTGATTGGCTGGCTCCACCCCCAGGGTGAGTGACATCTGTGAGCCTTGGGTCCCTGCTTCTTGCTCCAGAACCTTCAGAGCCTTCAGCTCCAGATGGCACTCACCAGCTGGTTTCCTGTAAGTTCATTGCAATAAAACAAAAGGCTCTCTTTGGCCTTTTGAGGGCTGAGTTAGCCTTGACTGGTCTTTGGGGTGACCCAAATATTTTCGATGATGTACACAGATCAGGCTGGCCCTCACCATGGACAACTGCAGTCGGAGGCCTGGGCAGAGACTGGGCACCAGCTGAGCTCGGACTTGGTAGGCCTTCAGCCACAGGGCAACCAGTTTTCAGTGGAACTGGCTCTGGTGATGTCCACGGCAGACATCACTGCGATATCTGTGACTCAGAGTCCTTATCAAGACAGACAGCCACTACCAATCAATTTGAGTTAGCCTCCTAGCTGCCTCTTATTTAGAGATTTCTCACTGAAATACTCAATAATTCTTAAGAAATATGTTACTCTTGGGCAGGCACTTTTCCTACAGTGCCCTTTTTTCCTTTGTTCCCCTTCTTTGCCATCTCCCCTCAGCCACCAAAACATCTAGGGGAGGGCTGAGGCATGAGCAGGGCTGGAGTGATGTTTAATGTCCTGAGGTCCCATCACAACTCCCATATTGCACGTGTCTGGGGCCAGCTACCCACCCCACCTCAGCGACCAGACTTCAGGATGTTGAGGGGCCCTGGCCCAGTGAGGGGGCCTGATGGGGCAGCCGATGGCCCAGGGGCCCCACCGGGTCTCCACCAGTACTCACCAAGCAGCCCCGGGTTGGGGAACCTCCAGGAGTCATTGTACGAGGGATACTGAGGGTGGCTGTAGGGGCTCCCGGAAAACTCACTCCCTGCATGTGGTGGGCGGGGAGAGAAACAGGAACCAAATGTCAGGTCAGCTTTGGAAAATGCCAGTGTCATTTGTCTCTTTCACAAACTGCAGTACGTTGTGTAACCAATAAAGGCAAGTCCGGTCCACCCCTTTATCAAGCGGACAGCTGTCATTGGCATTGTCTATACTTCCCCCTATAACCTTTTTCTTATTAGTGGGAGTGAATACCAGCCTCTCACACATGTACCATGAAATCACCATGTGCCAGGTGTTCCCTGGGGTTATTGGCCCATTTTACAGGTGAGAAGGCTGATGCCTAGGGTCTCTCACAAAATAGCCTGGATACACCCTACCCAAAACCAAAGCCCCAGAGTGCTTTGTTCTCAGCCCTGACTGAGGCCACTCCAGGACCGCAATGTGGATTCAGTGCCACCTCCCAAGTGTTTCCTGAGTGGCTCTGGACTGGGAAGCCAAAAATGACCCCAACGCCACTCAAGCCCTCTGTGCTGTGAATCCAGCGTTGGTATTCCCGGGGCTACGGTCCAATGAAGAAGACGAGACATGAACTCAGGCCCTCTGCCAGAAGGAGGCAGATGGCACTTTGCTGAGATGAAGGGACAAGCCAAAGGACTGGGAAGCACAAAAAGGTAAGTGGATTGGAGCCGCCTGGGCATGGGGGAAGGGGCAGCTGTTAGCTGCTCTGGGCAAGCAGGAACTGCAAGCTGCACCAGGCTGGGGCCAGCGCTGGGTGTGGGCGGCAGGGTGGGACTGGCGGATGCTCCATGCCTGCCCAGCGGCTCGTGGAGCCGTGATGCTTTTGGCACTTCCCTGTGCTCTCACTTCCAGCCTCAGGAGAGCCTCTCAACCACTGGCTTCTCATAATCCCTGCCCTCAAACCTTGCTGCCTTGGCTCTGCAGCAGGACAAGCCCTGTCTGAGTCCTACCTGTGATGGGGGCTCCTGAAAAGCGGGGGTCCCAGTTCCTGGCGCCAATTGTGCAGGCAGCTGACTGACTGCTGAGTGGCATTTTAGGCCACTGGTTACAGAGCACTGGCCCCTCCCTGGCAGTGGCAACGGGAGTCACACAGCCCCATGAGACCACCCTAGGCCCAAATGTGCTTCCATGGATTCTTAAGGATGCCAAAGGGCCGAAGGGCATGAGCCTCTAGAAGGACAGCTACTCAAAAGTCAGGACCTGGAGCACTACTCTTCGTTTGGAGGCCTCAGCCCGAATGTCAGGCCCCCGGGGTTCTACCAGGCGCAGTAGGAGCAATAAAGCAGGCCTGAGGCCAGCCGCTCCCACCCCCGGGCCCCACCAGCCTCCTCCCCACTTTCACAGGCAACAGCAGGCAAAGCTTGTGTGTGTGTGTGCGTCGTGTGTGCATACACACACACACACACACACACACACGCAGACACGTGCGTGCACGTGCGCTCCTCCACCGGCCTCTCTGGGGGCCACTCCCAGCCTGACAGGCTGAGCCTTCCAATTCTCTGTTTTTTATGCCTCAGTGGTCAGGGTGTCAGGTTCCGGCGGACGAGGGAGAGCCTGGTGACAGTGCCGGGCCGCAGCAGCCCAGCCTCAGCATATCCATCAGCGCCAGGCATCTCCTCCTCCTCCTCCTGGGGGGCCAGCAGAGGGGAGCAGAAAGATCCAGCCGCCTGGAGAAGGGGGACAGCCACCCGCCCCTCAGGGCTCCAGGTACCCACGGAGCTGCCCCATCAGAGGCGCTTCCTGACAGCACTGCACCTGGCCTGGGGCCTCGGGCTACACAGGCAAAGGCATCTCCACCTAGCAGCATCACGCCCGTCTACCTGGCCCAGTACCAAGGCCACCTCTTCCAGGAAGCCTCTGTGATCTCCAGCCCCCAAAAGTGCAAATCTCAGGCATATTCACCTGGAGTTAATTAGTTAATTGTGTCCTTGTCATCCATCCTGCACCCTCCATTACCTCCCCCCAACTCTGTCCCCAAATTGGCAAGGGGCTGTAAACAGCTCCAACTCTGCTAGAGAATGGTACCTAAGCCAGTGTTGCCCACCATCCTTGACCCTATTCCCACGAGCCTGGCTGAGAACCCTACTTGGCTACCTCCTCCTCTGGGAAGCCCCTCTCCTGCCCCTCAGATGCACTCCGTCTCCTGCCACGCCCCACAGCACCAGGTTCACCCTGACCTGTGAGGGAGTCTCCTGAGACGTGGGCGTGTCTGCCCTGCAGGTCAGTGTCTGGCTCCGCTCTGCTCCACGTGCCACCCACCCCCGGGGTAACGCCCCATCCACGGCGGACAGTCGCTGCTCTGTGAGTCAGCGGTAGCTTGCCTGCCTCTACCTGTAACATGATGCTCTTGCACAGAGTCTCCCTCACCTCCTTCTAGACTTTGCCCCTATGTCATCTCTGAACCATTGCATTTCAAATGGAAACTCCTCCCACCCCATCACTCTTCCCTGCTTAATTTTTCTCCATAGAACAGATCACCATCTAACACATCTCATTCGTTGTGCTTAAGTCTGCCTCTTCTACTAGGATGTGGGCCCCACGCGGGCAGGGAGTTTTGTCTGCCGAGTTCACGTCTCCATCCCAATGTCTGGCCTGGAGCCTGGCATCTAGCAGGCCCCGAAAACTCTTTGCTAAATGAGTGAAAGAATGGGAACTCCTCAGTCAGCCAGGGACACAGATGAGGCTCTCACGACGTCCATCACTGTACCCATAGCCAGGGGTATGTTACGCTCTGCTGTGTGCAGGACTCAAACCAGTTTATCTGACCCACTGCCTGGGTTCCATCCACCACACCATCCTGCTCCTCAGTGGAAGAAATGAACCCCCACCCTGCCTGGTGTGTTAGAGCAATGGGTGGTGGGTTCCCTCAGCTCACACAACTGCCTGGCACAAAGGATACCTTGGGCCCTCACCTCCTTCCATGAACTGCTCCATGCTTTTGGCATCTCTCAAAAATACCAGCCCTTTAAATTCAGAAAACCTTTCCTTCATGCATTAACGGAAAAGCCAGCTTGCACCCAGCGGCTGTCACTCAGGAGGCAGTGGGCCCTCTGTCTGGGAGGCACACAGCACATGGACTCTCCTCAGAGGCAGCTCGTGACCTGTCTGGAGCTGCTCCCACAGAAGCCCCCAAGGACTCTTTCAACAACAAAACATGGGTCACGATCTCCTCCACCTCCAGCCCCCAGGAGCAAGCAGTCCTGAGGAGAAACCAAGACTGGCCCTCCTGAGAGCGGGCCCCACACTGCCGTGTGAGGGGGCGGGGGATGCCCACAGGGTGGGTGCGGGTGTCCAGGGGCAGGGCAAGAGGGAGCCTGCCCATTGCTTGGTAATCAGCCCTCCACTCACTGGCTGTGTGACCGTGGGTAAGTGATTGAACCTCTCTGGGCAGACTGTTGTCATCTTGAATGTGGGGCTAATAAAAACACGTCCATCACAGGATGGTGAGAAGTAAACGAGACAATTATTGGAAGAACAAAACTACCCTCTCTGTGCCAAGGAGAAGGGGAAGTTGGGGAGAGAGGGAAGAGGAAAAGGCCTCTTCTCAAGACTGAATCTGGCCCTAAGAGGACTTCTATAGCTTCCTCTGAGTTCTTGGATATGCAAAAGGAGGCCCAGAGCTTCTGAGACTGGAAAAGGAGAGACAAAAGGAGATGCCCGTGCCCGCTTTTGAGGAAGCAGCTGGGTGCTGCATTTGGGCAGCCAGTGGGGTTGGGATGAAAGACTGTGGTCCAGGAACACTGTGGACCAGGGGAGCCCAGGAACTCTGTGCAGTCAGGAGCCTGGGCCCGAGGCAAGTGTGCGAAAGCGAGCCTCCCTGTCTGCGTCTGGGGAGGCTGGGAAGAGAGAAAGGACATGGGTGGTCAGGAGCATCTTGTGGGCGTGACACTCCATCTCACCATAACCCGGTCCAAAATATTACAGCGGAGAACGCTGGGGCTCAGGGACCAAGGGACTTGGCTTCACACTGGGTACCTGAGGGCATAGCAATCACTCCCCTCATTCCCACCCAGCTCCAAGCAACTCACTCCTTCAGGATTAATGGGAAGAGAAAGTGGCCCCCTACCCTCCGCACCGTGGATTTATCTTACATTGAACCTCACCAAGCTCCACCATGACCCATAGTCCCAGCTTATTTGGACTGGGCAAAACTCAGAGAGGATTTCTCTCAACTGCCCCTCCCCCAGGGCCACACAGCCAGGCAGGGACAGCAGGGCCCGAACACTCCACCGTATCCCCAGGTCCCAGGGCTTCCGCCATCCCAAGCAACCCTTCATTGGGCTGGGCCAGCAGGGGAAGAGACAGTCCTCCCCTCCCACCCTTCCCTACCCCTGTTATGGCTAAAAATGTTCAAACACACAGCACAGTTGAAAGAATTTTGCAGTGAACACTTGTGTACTCATTACCTAATTACACCATCAATATTTTCTCATACTTGCTTACTCTCTCTCTACCTCTAGTCTTCCATTCATCTTATCTTTTATGTATTTCAAAGTAAATTGGAAACATCAATACATTTTCCCCTAAGTACTTCAGCATGCATATTATTAACTGAAATTTATTATTTGTTTAAAAGTTTTTTCTTTTGATGTAAAGTGTACACATAATGAAATGCACAAATCTTAAAGGTACTATTGCTGTGTTTTGACAAATGTATACATGTGTGTAACCCAAACCTCTTTCAGGATATAAAACGTTATCATCACCCCAGAGAGGGAAAGTTCTCTTATGCCAGAGAAGGGGGTCTTTTGACCAACAGAGAACCCAGTTATCTGAGGATTGACCAAGTCGTTTCCCCATGAACGTGAAGCTCTGAGATGAGCACTGGCAGCCCAAACCCCGATTGCTGAAAGAGGTCTTTGACCCACAAATCAAAAGCCCTTCCAAAGCCACTAAACAGAAGAAAGCTGAGGAAGGGATGTTCTCTCCTCAGGGACCCAGAAAGAAAGCAGAGGCTTAACAAATTTAGGATAAACAGTAGATTTCCCACAAACAGCACCATCTTTCAAACACAGAAGAGCAGGC